CACCACACCCAGCTAATTTTTTTTGTATTTTTAGTAGAGACGGGGTTTCACCGTGTTAGCCAGGATGGTCTCTATCTCCTGACTTTGTGATCGGCCCACCTGGGCCTCCCAAGGTGCTGGGATTACAGGCGTGAGCCTCCGCGCCCGGCCGATTGGGATATTCTTAAAAGAATTTTTGAAGATGACCTCCTGATTCTGCCACTTCACCCTAAGGCTCCAAAACAAGGAGTTCCCTAGAGTCCCTAGGGAACTCTGTTGACTGATCCCATGTGGAGACAGGCTTTACTTTTCCATTCATCACACCTCCCTTCTGCCATTAAGAAAGAGAAGATACATAATAAATAGTGAAAGGCTAGACTCATCACTTCTAAAAGTTGCTGACACCCTACCAATAAGAAGATGCTACATGAAACTGTTTCTGATTATTCTAGAGTATTTAAATTACACTGACATTTATATGTGGCATTTAATTTGAAAAAAAACCCTTTATGGCAATTTAGCAAAAGAAAATTAGAATAAGTTTAAAAAATAATGCAAACGTTAATATCAAGGATACATATTTTCTGAGTACTACTAACTACAGATAAAGGTACTGTCATGTATAGCTGGTTCATGAGTTTTTCATAATATCTGTCTGGTAAGCATAAGGTTTGAAGGTTATATAGAGAGAAGCATTGTTTTGGTATTTCCTTATTTGACATAAAACATTTAACTTTCTACAACTGAGAAATCGATTGTTACAAAGCTGTGTCATTATATTTATGTTTGATGCCAAATTCATTATTTAGGAATTTGGCTCCACTGTCCATAAATTACTTGGTGCTGTCAGAATACAAATAACTCGGTGCCACATTTATTTCTCCCTAGTTTTGTTCTGACATCATGGAAAAACTTGACACCGTGCTTCCACTGGCTCTGGCATGCAGAGATGATTCTTTTCCGGAAATTAGAGCAAACTTGGTGGAGGCCTGTTGTAAAGTGGCAACAGCTGTCCTGCAGAGACTGCAAGAGAGAGCCAAGGAGGTTCCTTCCAAAGCACCCCTGAAAAACCTGCACACATACCTCTCCACGGCAGTGTATGTCTTCCAGCATTTCAAGCGATATGATAATTTGATGAAGGAAATTACTAAAAAGTGAGTGTTGTTTAAATTAAGTTGATGGCCATGCTTGAAGAAACATGTAATCTTTGGATATCACAGGAATGAAATTTTGGTAATAAGATTTGAGAAAGAGAAAGTAATAATTAACATGGTGAATTATTTTCATTTGTCTTAACTAGGAAATATCAAAAAGGTGAAGCATGGGAGATATTAAACTAGATACGTAGATAGTAAGAAAGGTATTCTCTCTAAAGCCACACTCAAAAGACCCATGCATTTTCTGCACCCTAACCCAGCGCAACTATTTTCTGCATGTTGTTATTACATGAATGAACACACCCTTTTGTTTTGTAAGGTGCATTATACTGACCACACTGAAAAGGAAAAATAAACTTGTTGTCTCATGGAGTGGACTTAGAAAATAAATTCATTGTAATCTATTCTAATGATCAATGTAAACATATTTCAGGACAGCCAGTTAGTAATAAAGTACAATATTTGAAGAGGAAGCATCTGGCAGTCTGATTTTCATGTATTTGTAGTCTAAAACTACAGTATGTTTTCTGTATAGAGAGAAAAATGACCACAGGTATTAATTATCACATGGCCTTTCTTGTTGCCCTTACACTGTCTAGATATAACATGGCTGCTTGCAAAAGAAATATGTAGACGTAGCAGTCCTGTGTGACCCCAAGAATCTATTCTATATTCTTTATCCAGCCTTTACAGTCCATTACTTATGAAAGAAAGCAGTGTAATATTCATAGCTAAAGATAAAAGTAGAATAAATTTGGCTTGATGTAGGGTATAACTGATATTTCTTTAATTCTCATAAGTAGTCAGATGTTGTGATTCAGGCTTGAATTTATAAACAAAATGTGCCAGAAATAATTTTATTTAATATTTCTGTAGAATTTTAAAAAAACAGTTTATGAGATAATTGATATCTACAAAATTACAATTTTTAAAAATAAAGACTGTGTTTGTGGTACATTTGATAGCTTTATAAAAGTTGGTTCTGACAAGTGCATGTTGTTCTCTAGTAATAACAATAACCTAATGCCTAAATAATGCACTGATCTCTAATAATAGGCTTACAAAGAATACTTTCATTTTTGAATGATGTATTGACAATACAGTTTGTCTCAAGTTGAAGTGCATATTTGTAGAACAGCAGATGTACGTTTTCAAAGGGCTTGCGAAACAAAGACCAGCCTTTTTTTTTTTTTTTTTTTTTTTTCCTTTTTGGAAAGTGAATGTGGATGCAGACTTCAGCATTAAGAGGAAATGAATGATTGATATCTAATAATCAAAACCACTTGTAGTACTGGAGATTGTTATCTCCTACTGCACAGGCCTTAAATCTCTGTCTCTTTGATCATTCTCTCTGAACAGACCCATATTCCTGGTGCCTGTCCAACGATATCAGGAATTCATCAACACTCTACAGTTTCAAGTTACGAACTACTGCGTCAGAGTTTGTGCTACAAGCATTTTACAGGATGCTGAGAGCCACCACTGGGATGACTACAAAGCTTTTTATGAGGTGTGAAGTTAAGTTTACTATCCCTCCTTTTTACACAAATATGTTTTACTGCCTACCTGCTTTCTGGCTAATTAGAAACATGAGCTTGGCATTACTGATACACGAAGACTGTTAGGATAATATTTTTAAAATATTGAATTCATACTTAGGAAAAACACTGTTTTTAAAAACCTGAAATAAATTAGACATCAGAACTCTCCTTCTGCTTAAAAGTAAAAATAACTTAATTTGAGCTGCAATATTGTGCCGTATAGTCGGAATATAATGGGACACGATGAAAACTCAAAGAGATAACAATGCCAAAATGCTACAACCTTGTATTTTTTCCAAAGGGACCAGTTAGTTATGGATATCCTTGCATTTTTTTTCTTGTTATACACTTCCATATGTATTTGATAAATACCTTTTATTAAGCAGCTTTATTCTTCGTACGTATTTTTTTCCTTCTCATTGTATGTTCTTATGAGTATGCTTTAAGACCCATCTGAGGCCGGGCGCAGTGCTCACGCCTGTAATCCCAGCACTTTGGGAGGGTGAGGCGGGCGGATCACTTGAGGTCAGGGGTTTGAGACCAGCCTGGCTAACATGGTGAAACCCCATCTCTAGTAAAAACACAAAAAATTAGCTGGGTGTGGTGATACATGCCTGTCTGTAATTACAGCTACTCAGGAGGCTGAGGCAGGAGAATGACTTGAACCCGGGAGGCGGAGGTTGCAATGAGCTGAGATCTAGCCACTGCACTCCAGCCTGGGTGACAGAGCTAGACTCTATCTCAAAAAAAAAAAAAAAAAAAAAAAAAGACCCATCTGATCAGTTATAGCTTACCTATTTTCATTTAGCCCATGTTTTGAAATCCCAAATTGAAGCCTAATGATTCCCAGTGCAACCAAACCCAGGATCAATTAAAATTATTCATCGTCAAGCTTCATTAGTTTCCCTTCACCTAAATCTCATTGATTATGCACAGACCACAATATTTGAAATTCCTCGAACTTCATTCCAGGGCAGGGTGAAACATTTATAATATCTTAATAAAAGGTAAACAAGGTTTAAAAAATTTTCAACAGCCATGCCCAGTTTCATTAACTTTTCCATTTTACCCTTTCCTCTAGATTGAAGTTTGTGACTTTCATTTTCTTGATTGTCCTAATCACTATAGAGTATTGAGAAAACAGAGTGGAGTTTTATTCAACAGAATCGCTCCTGTCACCTCGCATGCACTGAAGGTTCCTGTGGTTTGATTTATGCCTGAGTTATTATCATAATAAATGTTACTACAACAGAGAGGAGCGGCTAATAAGAAGCTCTCTTAAAGGACTTTCCACTTTTTCTAAGGCCATTTCATCTCTCATTCAGAGGCCCTTCCCAGAGAGTTTTTCTCTTTGCAAGAGCATCCATATAGAGTTTTCCAAACCTGACATACTTCAAACAGTCATGGAAGCAGCGAGCAGAATGAGAAAGAGAAAGTGGTATGGTGCAGCTGGTAGCCTGAGATAAGAATGAAAGTATTGGTCTTCCCCTCTCCTGGCAGCATCATATTTTCCTTATTTGCCTTGAAGTAAACTGAGTGGTTGAAAATGAATCCTACTCATGTTTCAAACTATTTCAATATGTCAGTGTACTACTAATGAGCAATTTTATATGATGTTTTACATGAAGGACAGGTATCATCTCACTATATGTTCAACATAGGGGTATTATGTTTCCTCTTATGCAAATTGGGAGCTAGAAGAGTCGTACAGTGTAAATAAGTGGATGCATTGAGAACCTGTTATTGAAGTTACCAAGTATTTTAAAAACCAACAAATTACCATGTAACATGCAGCTCTTAGATCTTATGACAAGGCTTTAGCTTCAAAGACAGAAATAACGAGATAGTTACCCTGTGATTACATGGTACTGTAGCTTCCATATACTTACATGGTCAGTAGTTACAATTTAATTGCAGAGTTAGTGGTGGTTATTTGTTCTCAGAAAAATAAAGTGATACTTTTTTTAATCTATCAAAAATAAGAACCTTCTAAAAATAGCACTGATTTTAAACTGTTTTGACAACTGGCGTATCTGACATGGTTTTATCTTGCTTACTGCACCCCTTTCTTCTGCTCTCCCCATTATTCCAACTGATTTGTGAAACAGAATTGGTATGTTTTTGGCAGGCCTGCTTTGAGAGGGAAAAAGATGATATCTGCCTGACTGGGGGTGAAGGGTAGGATAGAGATCTCAAGGGAACCTATCGCCATGTGCAGAGCATAGTAAAGAAATAGTAAAATAATTTACAAGATATGCAGCAATATTTGCTCATGTTTTGTGATAGCAAGTGAGATCTAGATACATTATTTCCATTTTCTAAACTGTCAACTTGAGAGAGTCAGAGTTCTGTATCTCTCTGATGAGGTGCTGGTCACGATGGCACAGTGGGTGTTCAGATTACATGTTTAAAATTAAGCTTTTAGGGTAGTTGACATCTGTTCAGTTTTAGGAACTTGTGTTTTCCAATAGTCAAAGAATAAAGAATTGTCTGTTCAAAGATAATATTGAGTGGCTTCTATAATAAAGCCCAGCTGCTTGTTTCCTGATATATAATCTAAATAAAAGCTCACATGTGTTTACATTACAGTGGGTCTGCAAAAATAACAGATGTTTACTAGCAGAATACTTCTGAAATGACAACAAATAAGGAAACAGGTCAGAAAAATAAATGAATCACATTTAGTTTAATGAAAACCCTTGCGTACATTGAAGTTGTATGAATTTAAAAAGAATTGTTAGAACAAAGACCTATTTGAAATATTTTAAAGTAAACATGAAGTTTATAATTTAAAAAGTCTTAAAATGAGTATTTTTTTACTTTTAAGAGAAGAAATCTGTGTGCCTAAAGTTACTTTTATTTTCTAATTTATCTCTAAAGGGTAGCTATTGAAGAAATTGGTTTTTCATATTTTGAAGAATATGAGAAATCATTTTGATCATGTTGTAGTAAGAACTCACCCATTTCCGTAGGCAAAGTTAGTGTAAATCATTCATGCTAGTCACTAGCAACTGGAGTCAGTTTTGCTTAAATTTACATGCAACACAAAAGGTATAAGAGAATCAGGCATTCAAACTCCTTCCTTAGTTTAAAAAGTATTCATCGAAACACACAACAAAGAAAGCATAAAAAACTATAATTTTGCTGCTTCATCATTAATTTTGTAATTTCTTTTTTCTTAAAAAGTTTAGATGCACACCTTATTAGGAAATCAGAAGCCAGTGGCCAAAGTCCCCTCCAGTTTGAGCTCGACTCTGACATTTTAATGCCCAAGTTTCTTACCCAAAGAATACAAATTCTACTAATTTATAAATGCCATTTGAAAGTCAGTAGATAATGACTATAAATTATTATTGTTTCGATGGCTGCAGAAGATATTAGTAATCAAAGAAACTACCAGAAGAGTAATACATAAAGAAAATACTAATGGGAGTGTCTGCATAAGAAATGATCACTTTTGGTATAAGAGAACAGCAGATTTTTTTTTTTTTTACATGACATTTGCCTGACAAATACAGATAGTGGGCAAAGCAGAAATTTTAAGTAAAAGATAATCACTTGGAATATAATAGGAAATTTCACTAGTTTAACTTCTGATATATTAACATAATCAAGATAATGCTGGAAGAATGTGTTCTAATCTTCCTATTTCAAATAACCATTTGATCTGATTTAAAGAAAATGGGGTGAAACTACTGGCATACCTCCCTGAGAGTACGTGTTACCTGATTAATGCTTGTAAATCACTTGAGGCCACCCTCTTCTTTCTGCCTGTTCCCCTTGGCCTTGGCCATTGTTAGTTCTTCCTCTGCAGTCAGAAAATTTGGCACACAGAAGAGATCTGTACAGGGGTGGAAAGGAATGAAAATATGACTCTTTAAAAGTACAAGGTGCCATAAAAATACTAAGAAATGATGATAATATGTGCCTAGGCTTTAAAAAATCTTGTAAACTCAGACTATTGTGATATCTGCTTCTAGTATTGTTATTTAAATACCATAGGCAAAATAGCCTAATGTAATGATCTTCGATAGCTACCCATTCCCCTTGGTTTCAAGAATGTTCCTAAGAATGCAGTATGCAAGTTTATTTTTACTCCTGTCACTTCATTATAATGTGAAATCTGAAACATTTATAAAATTACCTCAATGATACTAATAGGCTCAGAAAAATATAACTACTGAAATGATTCAAATAGATTTTAATTTTAGAAGAATCAGTCCACTATCTTAAACAAGCTACCATGGTTTTTTCACAAACTACAAAGCTAGTTGTTTAAAAATAAATTTTAAACCCTAGGCTAGGTATAGGTAAATCAAGGCTATGCTAGGCTAAATGTTTGTGATCTGGATTTGCACTAGAATGTCTAGTCTCATAATTGAAATAAAACATCTGTTCCTTTGTCAATAAGGATGTTTTACATCTTATAAAAAATCTTTGTTGGTCTTCTAGTGTGTCAAACTCTTTAGCTATTTCCTTTCAGCCTGAACTAATTAGGTTCATAGGAAGCAAACTGACATTTTAGAAGATGTAATTCTATGGTTTAACGTTTGGTGGCTTTGCCAGGGTGAAAGATGTTCCTTCTCGATCCAGATGTGGCATTATTTCTGCTGGGCTCTTCGTTACGATCTCTGGACCATTCTGCCTCCTAAGTTAGCCCAGGAGATTCTAGCAGAAGTGCTGGAGAAATCTTTGGGTCTACTGGCCTCCAGATACACTCGGGCCCACCCCAGCCGCAAAAGAACTCCACAGTTAAGGTAACTGAAGTTCTGAAAAACATTGCTTTTCAAGAAAACTTTTCATTAGTTGGGTATAAAGCAGAATTCTGAATCTCATGACATACTCCTTATATATTTAACATGCTTCTAACATCTGAAAAGAAATCATATTCTATTCTCCTGAGTTATTTAGGTGGAAATATGAAACCTGAATCGAAATAAATTTGTTCTTTTTATTCCTTAAAATTGTCTATAGAATCCACTTGTTTCTAAAAAAATGATTCAAGGTGTCTTATAATCGAGGATATAGATACACAAATGTTAATAAGATAAAAATAGAAAATTAAGGCCCTGAAATTGATACCAAAGCATCCATGCTGTGATGGAGCAGTCAGTTTGACACATTTGATTTTGAACTTCTAGGCAACCAGGGGATTTTAGTTGTTTTTTGTTAACCCTTTAAATATAGAAACTTATCTTCATTAAGAAAACCTAATTATTTTCTTCCTAATATATTCTAATTATTTTTTCCTTTTATTTTCACTATTTGTTACTAACAGCCAGTTCAACAAAATGTGAAATCACAGAAAATGAGGAGCAACAGTCACTGAGTATTAAATAAGACTGAATTATAGTACAATTCTATGAGTTCTCTAGGCAATGAATGTATGAATTGTGCTTACATCACTACAATGGTCTTGTATGTATATGAAGAAAAGGCTTTTGTTTTGTAAATATTCTGTATAATGTGATTCAGACCTTTTAGGCAGAATAATCTTTTTTCAGATGTATTTTAGGAGGAACCTACGGACATGGGAGTCTTTTTTTTTTTTTTTTTTTTGGCAGGAGGAATCATTTCCTGATCATGTTCTTGTAAAGCGTGCTGCAATTTGAAGGGCATTTAGGTCCTGCTGCAGTGTTTCATAAATACGGTATTTTGCACAGGCTGTTTTGAATTACTGACTAGATTTTTTTTAAAAATTGAACTAAGAATAGATGGAAAATTCCTTTTGAAAGCAAAGAATACCTTCGTTCTTTTCCTTATATAGCATAAATCACTTTTGATTATGAAATGGCAAGTCATTATGTGAAATCAGCTTTACTGTTAGCTCATGAAATAAGTAGAAATGGGTAGTATATTTAATTAATTAACTGTAGAATAGAGACTTTCGGTTTTTATTTTCTGGGTGGTTGCATAAAAATGCCATGCAATGTTAGAATTATTGCTTCTAGTTTTTGTAAGTAAAATATATAAATATTTTTATTTGACTGGCTACTCCTAAACCACCATTATTATGGAAATCAGATTGTGTATGTGTGTTTCTACATATATATTGGATTAGAAATTGTTTATCTAGCAATTAGAAAAAGCATATACAAACTAAAATTAAATCTTTATAAAGGCTATTATTGATTCTTTTAATATTCCAGTAGCCTTCAAATGTCACATAACTAAGCCATATATATGATTTACATATGTGTCATATATTATTAATATGTAATATTTATTATATAATAAATTTGAAGCCAAAATGTCATTTTAAAAGATCCTCAAACTTGTATTTTTCTTATCACTTCAAAATTTTCATCTTCTGTTTCTTCAACCCTGAATTTAAAACAAAACAACCAAAAAAAGGAAACTAACTTAGGTCTGTTCAATTTAGTTATGTGCCAAAATAATAATTAAAGAGATCTTTGGGTCCCTATTAAAACTCAAGAAAGATGGAAACAAAGAAATAAGTCTATGAATGAGATAAATAATACAGCATATTTTCCACAAATTTATTTAATATTAAACATTTCTGAAACTATAGGCTTCTCGATTTGAGCTTCGTTTGTCATTTCTTCTTATCTCCCACTTGCTGGGAGAACGTGCTACCAATCTTGTAACTTTTTTTTGACAGTTTGCTCATGAGTGAGGAGAATTGTTCTGCCATGAAATTTTAACCTATCATACATACATATGGAAAATAGCAAATTTTTCTTTTCATCTAGCTTCTCTTTGACTCAGTGTAATTTCCGGGATGATCTCTTGAGTTTCTTGAACAGAATCCTAATAATGTAAAATAAACATTTTTTAAAAGCACTCCTAAAACGCTATTACAGAGCTCACCATCCCTAAAGATAATGGTATTGTGGGTCATCTAACACCTAGAAATTCAAAGAGTATCTATCTTTCATACTTTCTATTTGGTTTAGATCTCTGAAGCTCTGGTATCTAACTGAATTCTTCTATTCTTACATATGCTTAGTACAAGAGATATGAATTAAAGTGCCTACCAAGCAGAAACATTATTTTGTTTAACATGATTTTCTCTTCTTTCTTTCCAACAGACTTGATGTCACAACCATTTTGATATGCACTGAGAACATGTTATGGTCCATTTGTACATCTGTACAGAAACTTTTGAATCCTCATCAGCATACAGATGATAAAATTTTTAAAATTCATACCCATTGTAATAATCTGTTTACAACATTAGTCATTTTGACTTCACCGTTAACAGAATTGTATAAGTAAGTATCAAATGTATTTTCCTTTTAGCTATTATGATATACAATAATGTGATTAACAAGTTATTTCCATAACACTTATTGAATTATGTGAAGTTACAAGTAGAAATCTTTTGAAGTGCATTTTTGATACTGTGAACTGGGCCATTTTATAAAACCAACACCAACCAATAGAGTTTCATAATTCTCAATGCAATTCAGTGCCCGAAAATGTGTTATGTCTCTATTGGTCAACCCCATTCAGCTGATAAAGCTCTAATATAATCAGGAACATTTTTAGCTTCACTATTTGGGTTGTTTAAATGATCAAATTATATTGATGGCCTGATTATCACAGTGATTTTTTGATACTTTATGAAAAAGAAAACTATATTTGAGATATACCTTAGCTAGCAATGGCAAATGGAAATAGAAATAATAATTACATTTTTAAAATGTGGAAATATTTTACTTAGCTCAACAAATAAGATTTAGAAAAATCTAGAAATGTGGAATTACTTTGATTTCTGGTTAATGCAATTCAAATCTGTAATGTTATAGAGGAGGTTAGAATATGTCTTATCATAAAACATTAATACCATTTTGTTTATATCCTCCTCCAAAATTGTCACTTTTATTTTTTAACCAAATAATTGTATCTTCATGGGTAGTAAAAATTTCACATGTCTATTTCTAAGGATAAATCAGGTCAAGTGTTTCTTTGCATAACATTCTGGTAAAAGCGATATACAAATCTTAATTTTTAATAAATTTTGACACATTTGTATTAGATATTCTAAAAGAATTAACAGCTTTTATTTCGGCTTCGCCTACTCTGACTTTCAATAAACCCATTGTTTCCAGAGTGTTCCTTCTAGCAACACACGTTGAGAACTACTTTTAGAAATGGAGAATTCTTTCAGAAAGGGGAAGAAACAGTGAGATAAATCACCATACGGTTGATATTATGTACATAATGGTTCATAATCATAAAAAGCTCAAGTCTGAAGCCCATAATAAATCCTAGGAAACTAAACTGATTTACCATAGATGAAAAAATTGCTATGCTCTCAGTTCAATGGGTCATTTCATCTAAGAGGAAGGCCCTGTGAAAATCGGGAACAAAGTTGACAAATTTCATGGATTGGTCATGGTGAGCAATATTGAATTTCATGCTTTGTCACAGATGAATTGATCAATTTTAGCCCCCCAATGCATTTGTAAAACAAATAAATTATTACCAAAGATTGCATATTTTAATAATAATGTAACATACATTCATTATTGTTAACCTATGGCTTTTTGATACATTTTTAACAACTATGCAAGTACTCAAATCTCTATGATTTGTGCATTAGATATTGCACTGTAACCTCATTCAGCAAATTTAAATTGCTAATTTCAACCAGGATTACAGAACATTTTACGCTAAGCACTGCCTCTGGTTTTTCTTAATATAAAACATAGATAGCTATATTGCTTTGAAGCATGAACAAAAATCTAGATATACTTTAATTCTTTTAAAATATTTCTCAGTTCAAAAAATTTCAAAAGTTTTATCCATTTATGTTTACTTAAATGTCATGATTGTTTTCCTAGACTACATATCTAATCTTTGAAATATACTTTTGTTTTGTATTGACAAATGAAATCTACAGGGCAGCATGTTCTTTGCCAATTAGGGAAAAATATATTTGTGTGTTGCAAGAACTCTATAGACTTATTGGGCTTTTTTACACATCCAAGATATGAATCCATCATACTATTAGCATATTAGAAAAAATTGTGAATCTCACATTAAAAAATTAAACCACATTCTTTGAGGAATTGGTGAAAAGTAGCAATCAGATGTTAATCGTATTGAATTTTTATAAACGGTACCTGACATTTGTCACTCTACGTGATATGCCCTTTTAGAAGATGACTGCCTTTATTTCAAGTAGTTCTGACAGATGAACTGAATGTGTTTTCCTTTCTGAACTTAGCGTAGGACCACGAAATCCCTGGACAGGAATACATGATTTTAAAGTCTTTTCAGGAAGAAGGAAACCTGTTTGCAAAAATATGTGTTCTTTTTTAACTCGCCTTTATAGATTTCTGTTAGAATGTTGTAAAAGGAGTACTTCAGCTTTGTTCTCCAGGGAAAGGAACATGCTGAAACAGAAAATATTCACCATGTATTTTCCAAAGTGCTTATCACTTATATTTCTTTCATAAAGGCAGTTAAACTGCAGGTTCCGAAGCATATTCACATACATGTTCATACACATCCCCACCCAGTGATTTCATATGTTGCATTTTGGATGCGTAGACTTTAGTTTTAGTTCATGTGTAGCAGGTTAAAAATTAATTACTAGAATTTTTGGGTAAATGCAATTCAGTTTCAATTCGACAAATGTTGTTGCCTCTCTAGCCCCTATGATTAAAGATAAGGGATGCAACAATGAACCAGATTTAATATCTGCCACAAGTAATTTAAGAAAAGATGATGATATTTTTTATTTTAAATTAAAATAATATTGTCCTCCCTAAATCTATAATAAAAGGTAGAATTAGATAATGAATTTCATATGTATATCTAATGTCTATATCTATATTTATCCAAATGTTTTGATGTGTTATACCAAAACTCCTAATAGTAGAAACTTTCTGAAAGCTGGCTATTTCAACATTTAATAAGATGGAAGTGTGGGATTTCAATACAACTGCCAACAAGTCATGCAAAAGATAGGGTCATCAGAAATATACCCAAAGGTAGATCACTAAGCCAAGGAATAGCAGCCTCATCTTGGGGTCCATTTGTTGTCACTCATAAGGCTTTTTTAGTCACCAAATTCCAATGCTCTGTCTATAGTTCTGTTTCAAACTAATGTTAGGGCTTTCGAGGTTATGGCCTTACCCTTTGTTTAAAAAGAAACTATTTCACTGTCTCTCAGAAAATAAAATAGGCCTTTGCTTTTCCTACCTCAGGAATGACTGGCACACCTTGGAAAATAGGCAGGTCCTCAAGTTAAGCATAGAATATGCTTATGTGAAATGTTGAGCATATGGTCATATGGCCCAACAATGAAAGTATTATGTCCACACAAAAATTTGTGTAGGAGTGTTCAAAATGTTATGTCCGTACAAAAATTTATGTAGCAGAATTTTTTAAAATAACACAATGAGAAAGCAGCCAAATGTCCATCAACTAGTGAATGGATACATAAAATGTGGCATATCCATACAGTAGAATATTATTCCGCAATAAAGAGGAATAAAGTGCTAATATGTGCTGCCACAGGGATGAACCTCAAAAACATGCTAAGTGAAAACAGCCAGACACAAGAGCCCACACATTGTTTGATTCTATTTATTAGAAATGTCCAGAATAGGCTTATCCGTAGAGACAGAGAGTAGATCAGTGGTTACCAGAAGGTGAGGGGAGGAGGGAATGGGGAGTAACTGCTAATGGATACAGAGTTTCATTTGGGAATAAAATATTCTAAAATTAGATACTGATGAAGGTTATGCAGCTGCATAGTATAACCATCTATATAGTATATATATAGTATAAACCATCTAATTATATACTTTAAATGGGTAAATCTTGTGGTATATGAATTATACATCTCAATAAAGTTGTGAAAATGAATATAGACTGAATGGAAATTTAAACATACTTAAAATGATTTTTTTTTTTAAAAAAAAAGGTATCTGGCAGAATGCAAAATTTTCCAGAAAGTGAAGTTTCTTGTCTTAGTCATTTTGTTTAGGTTCAATGACTCCCTTTATCCACCTTCCTGTAAACATTATTTTAAAAGGGAAGTCTCATTTTTTTAAAAACACAAAATTAAACAGCTTTATGTGTCATCCTAATAAGGTTAAAATACTCCAAAAGAGCCAGTCATTAAATTTAGAGAGGGCTGCTCCCAGAATATTCGACTGGCTGACTCCTGGTGTACCCCGAGGTCCAGTCTTTCTTTCTCTCCACCTCCTGTCCTCAACCTGCCCGTTGGCTGTCTACCACCCACAATTGCTCTTCACAGATGGCCCTTAAAACTCATCCTCCTTTTAACTAAGCAAGGTCTGGTAATACCTTTTATTCATTCTTTCTTTCTTTTGCCATGTATTTACCATGTATCTACTATGGGCCAGTTATTCTCTAACCTCCGGTTATCATTTGCTAACCTCAAAGAGTTATTTTCATCATGAGAAATTCAAGGCACTTAAATGTCACTTAATGACATTTAGGCAACAACTTATAGTCTCGGGTATAATGCCGGTTTTTGAAAGCGAAGCAGCGACTTAGCATTCTGTTTAAAATCTTGAATTCAGTATTCATAGGTAGTTGTCTGTGATTCTAGGGCCATCAGAAAGGTTCACATGTCCTCAGTTATCTCGAGCTTTCCAGGGCTATCTTAGTTATTCAGTTTCACATTAATTCTGCCTTGTCTAAGGTTGTGGTCTTCTCTTGGTATGATTTATTGCACGCCTCCAGTGGCCCAGGCACCATGGCAGGCACAGATGACTCAAGAAATCTAACCTGACCCTCCACTCACATAGAGCTTACATCCTTGGGCTACCTTAATTCAGTCATGGAGGTTTATTCCATTAACATCATATTATGAGACCTGTTTCTCCTGCGGGGGCAGCCAAAACAACATGACACAAGAGAAGCATAAAACCCAGCTAACTCTTTTTAGCTCATCAGTTCTTCTCACTTTTGATGTGCATTGGTTTTTATCTCCTTTCAGCATCTGGCTAAATAAGTCCAAAGACCTGATCAGTTTTGTTAAAGAAAAAAGGAATTCTGGCAACATAGGTGTAGATCAGAGAACCCAGAGAGAGTGAATCTAGGACAGAGTGCTGGTGTGGTCAGCAAAGAGGCAGTATAATGCTAAGGCAAGGAAGGGGCATGGCTAGTTGGGGTGGGAGGAAGGGCAAAGGCAAGGAATTTTCCCAAAATCACTCTTTTGCCCTTAAGTAAAGTCATCTTTACAGTGTGTCATTTGGGAATGTGAAGAAATGTACCTGCTTCAAACTTATGACATTTATTTTTAAGAAAGTATTTAAATGTGCTGTATCAAAATTCTCTTATGTCTTGTGAAAAATATAATTCTATGGCTCATACAATTGTATTGTATTTTACTCTCCACTATGAATTATTTAGAGCATCCTCTCTTTTAACTGTACACCAAAACATCATTAGAGGTTATCTAATAGCTAGCTCATAATTTCATTCTCCCATTGAGGCTTGTGGGCCAATTTTCACCCTGTTATACTCTCTAGAATAATGAAACTAATTTGGGATCTTGCTGTGGAATTAAATGCTCATACAGATCTCACTCCCTTTGAGACCATAAACATCTGCCATAATATCTCTTATAGCCAAATAACCTTACTATAACCAGTATGACTGAGAAACTGTCAGTGGAGTGAAAGAGTTTAGGTACTGGCAGAAATGCTCAGATAAATACCATATTGCCAATGGTTTGTCATCTAAGAAATTTATGTACTAAATAACCATGCCATTATTTTTAGATCCTCCTTTATCTTGTCTAGTTGTGAGAATAAAACTGCAGCTAGGCAACCACTTAGACCATCAGAAATTTCACGTCAGTTTTGAAATGGCCATAGACTTTTTTAAGGACAATTTCTACCGATTGTTATCTTATAATGATAACTTACTTATATTGAGTACTTATTGTGTACAAGGCACTTTCCTAAATGCTTTAAATACATTATTCTACTTAATGTTCACACTGACTCTGAGGGGATTTACTATTTTAATCCCCATTTTACAAATGAGAAAACTAAGGCTAAATATACTACCACCAGCATTGCCTGTTAATAAAAGCATATTCAGGATATAAGCCCAGGCTCTCTGGCTCCGGTTCCTGCATGTGCCCATACACTACCTCTATATAACCTTCGATGACCTTACCCTTAGGGTATGGAGCAGATAAAAACGTAAATGCAAAGGGATTGGAGGTAGAGTTAAATCCTATAAAGAAACAAACCAAAATTAGAGCATAGAGAGGGGATAAGGTTGTGAAAGGGTAGTCAGGGAAGACTTAGTAGAGAAGCTTCAGAGGTAGAGCAATCTATGGAGCTACCTGAACATGATAGAGAAGTCATCTAGATAAGGTATTCATTCTTAGAGAAATGAGGTAACCCTCAGACAACTAGACAAATAGGGATTTTATGCAAAGAGATCAAGGAAGTGTGAGGGAAAGTAGGCATAGGCTATGAAAAAGGCTACAAAGATATGTAGTATCTTTGTCCATATTCTCCAGTCCCTCCTGCTCTCTCATCACCCATCCTTTTCTCTGAGTCTTTGAGTCTTTCTCTTCCTTTGAGACTGCCTTTCTCTCCAGGCCACTTGCTGCATCTCCTGTCACATTGTACCAGCACCCTCCTTTTCCTAGCTCTCTTGCAGTGGCGTGGTCCTCCTCATACCCTCACTTTCTTGGGCTCTATCCAGACTCTGGTACACTTTTAGAGAATATCACCCACCTCTCCTTTTATACCTTTCGACAATTCCACTCTTTGCCAAATCTTGGGTAACTCCTTTTTTCATCCTTCCCCACTTGGGTCAAGCCCCTGATCCTTGCCCCATGTGTTTGTTAGCAGATAGCCTTGTTCCTGTGCTTCTCTAAGAAAATCCACACCATCATGAATGCACTTTAACTTCTCATTTCTGTTCTTAATAATTATTCTCCCCACTCACCTCTACATCCTTTGATTACTCTCTGATCGATATGTCTATTTTCCCAATTAGAGTAAATCTTTTTACCTGACCTCTTAATTGCATTTACCTCCTACTCATGGCCTTTTAAATATTCTTTCTATCTTGTCTTGTGGCTCCTTCCCCCAAACATGTCCTATATTAAAAAATGTTCCTCCATTACTATTATGTTTTCCTCCCAAAACAGTTTTCATTCATTGTCTACTTTTATACCTACCACTCACTCAGTGCACTGCAATTGGACTTCTACCCTCAGCATGCTAAGCTAGCAACATGGGCAGGGTCCTCCATACACTCCCGATTGCCAACTCCAGTGGATTCGGTCATTTTCTCTTCTCTTGGCTTCTCTAATACCACTTTCTCCCGTGTCTTGGCCTACTTCTCTGATTATTCCTTCTTGGTTTTGCTAGAATGTTTCTTTTTCTGGCCTTGCCCTTTAAGTGTGGGTATGTTTCAGAGTTTTATCTTTGATCATCTTTACATATTACGTTCCTTTTTTTTTTTTGGTGGGGGATGGGGTGAGGGGGTGTGAATTCATCCATTGCTATGGCTATACCATTATGCTGATGACTTCCACATTGGTGTCTTCAAACCAGACAGCTCTTGTATGTGCTGTATCAGTAAATCCAAATTACTATTCAATGCCTTGCATGTACTTCAGATGTCTGTAGCCCCCTTAACATATCTAAAACTAAGTAAAATACTTGAAATGTATCCTAGGCTTCTTCATTTTCCTTAATTTCCTCCTTCTATCTTCCCACTCATACCATCACCAACTCCATGTCATTAGGAGATGAATATTGTTTTTTCTATGAATTTAACAAGTTTTATATTTGTCTCCTACTTACTATCTCCTGTCTCTTACCTTGGTTCAGTATCTTATCCTCTCTGACCTGTCTACTACAATATCGCCTTCATTATCTCCCTCCCTCCTGCCTGACTCTTTCCAATCTGCTCCCCTCACTACTGCTAAAGTGATTTTTCTAGGATGTAAAACTGCTAGGGTTAATCCCATGCCATAAACTCTTCAATGATTCGTTATTGCCAGTACTAAGTCCAAACTCCTTAGAAAAACATATCCTGGTACCTGGTCTGGCTTCTGCCTACTTCTCTAGCTCACATAGTGGAATACGTGGGATGGAAATATTACAGCCTGACTTTGAAGCCTATTTAAGGAATTTCTATTTTGATCTGAGATTTACTGAGGAAAAAAAAGCCTTTTAAAGAAGAGATGATATATTAAAGTCTAAAAAACATCCAAGTCTATTTAATTAGAAGATGTTCTATTTAGCAAGACAATCAGGGGGAAAGAAGGGTCAAATTTGAAAAAAACATGAAGACACAAGAAGCAAGATGTGGAGTGAAAAGATAAAGGTGGATTTTCAAAATGGAATTCTGTTCTGGATATCAAAAGACACTATTGCTCCTGTACTGTATATAAAGAGAGCTGGTACCACCTCAAAAATTCCATTTCTAGAGCATTCTCAGTCACTGCTCTTAACTCTGTGTAGGAAAATATAACCTCCTGTTGTTATACATTTTTTACTAGCCAAGTTATCTGCTAAAGATTTTATGTAACAAATTCTTTTCTATTGTGTCAAGATTTAGAGTTGAATTTGAGCCAGCCTAGAAAAATGTTGCAGTAACCGTTGATAGTTGTACATCAGATATTCGGGTTGCATTGTTTTAATTTTGAAATTATAATTATGTATTTTACAACTAAATTCTTCTTTATAAACCCTCTCTAGACCCTTAGGAGTATACAAAATTAATTATAAATTCTAATTAATTATTTAATACTTATAAATCACTTTAAAGATTAAAAAGAGGTACCATGATGCTAAAATTTTTACATTAGTGAAGCAAACACTGGCATTTATTGGATCCAGGTTGAAGAAGATAACAATGGTATATAAAAATACTACTCATGGGAAACATAAGTAATATTCATTGTACTATTCTTTATCCTTTTGTCATGACAAATTGTATAACATGAGATTTTAAAAAATTAAATGATAATGGTATTGTTACACCTTCGCCAAGTGTAAGGATTGGTTTTATAGAGGTTCATAAAAATTCTAAGTCTTAACTTGTGGTTTTTCATGGCTGTGCTGACTTGCCCACCTGGCCCCGAGTCACCTATTAACATAAATCCCAAGCGGATGAAGTGGGGGCATTGTCCATTCTAGCACAGTACCGTTTTGTGTAAAAATCATTAACTGAGCCAGGCACAGTGGCTCATGCCTGTAATCCCAGCACTTTGGGAGGCTGAGATGGGCGGATTGCCTGAGCTCAGGAGTTCAAGATCAACCTGGGCAACATGTTGAAACTCCGTCTCTACTAAAATACAAAAAAAAAAGAAAAAAGAAAAATTAGCCAGGCATGGCAGCATGTGCCTGTAACCCCAGGTACTTGGGAGGCTGAAGCAGGAGAATCACTTGACTCTGGGAGGCAGAGGTTGCAGTGAGCTGGAATTGCGCCACTACACTCCAGACTGGGCAACAGAGCAAGACTCTGTCTCCAAAGAAAGAAACAAACAAAAAAAAATCATTAACTGAATCCTAAGTAAAAATCACAAGTTATTTCAATCGTCATAGTTAATGTTTCCTGTATATTCTAAACTAATGATTTGTATTTCCCTAGGACTTTTCAGCATGGCCTGGATGAGTCTACTTCAGATTCCTTAAAATCATGTTTTAAGCAACCATTATATTGGGTTTCTTGCATATCACATTTCTACCCTTCTTTACTCAGGTGAGAGCCTCTAAATGCTATACTATCTGTAATTCTATGATTCCTTTTAAAATTTAATAGAAATTTTTATCTGTGGATATAAATTAACTTATATCTTACAAAAAGAACTTACAACTTTTCACAATTGGCAGGTAAGTAAAGAGTATTATTTCTCTTTTCTTAGCTCAAGAATCAAAGGCATAGGCCTCATAATGCTACTAGCTTATAGCTTTAGTGATGTAATGGAAAACTGTAAAGTTTTGGAATTTAGTTTTATTTTAAAATTTGTCTTTCTTGATATATGACTGGGGATTTGACAGTTCTCAAGCTAATTATCAAACATAGACATATAACTAACTCAGAGCCTTAGGTAGAAGTTGAGAGAGAAGTAACTTTTAAAATTATGAGTAGGATCTTTCACTTTTATTATTTAATTAACAGCACTTAAAAACAAGAAAAATCATTTAAAGTATGAAATGTGCTTCCAGAGTAATCTGATGGCATTTTGTGGCATTATGTGAAATGGCAGTTTGATTTCTTGCTGAATATAACATTGGAAAGTACCTTTCCTTGGTATCTGAGAATAAAAATATCATGTACAGCTAAAGGAGATATTGTTAATCCCCATACATTCTTGATTCATCTTGGAAATACACTATCAGCTATTTTACCATCTAAGCTGACTCTGTCTCTTGAGGAACAAGATTGTCACCCATAAATAGAAGGTGTGAAAACATCATATACGAAAGTTTCCATACACACAACAAACTTACACTGTTTGCCTAATGTGTGCCTATTTCCATGTGGGTAATGAAAAATCCAACATTAATGAGACATAGACCCCATCTTCAAGGACCTCAATGTATTGTCATTACTTCATTTACATATAAAACTTTGTCTACATTTCTGATTAATTCCTTATGATTGAGTCCTAGAAATGGAATAGTCTCAATGCTCTGTCATCTTGTGTGTAAATATATCTTGCCATCTTGCACATAAATATATTTTATTTCATTTGGAATTAAATAGCCAACTCCTTAATACTCATTGTTGCAAAAGTAACAAATGACTGGATCTCTTACAGTGTGAGTCAAGCCAACAAGCTCTGTCATTTGATGAGTTCCTACATTTATAAACATATCTGTTCTCCATGTTATTATCACATTTGCTTTAACCTATTTTACTGCCTGCTTTTATTTTATATCTGGAACCACTGGAGTTATTTTCTTTTAGTTATAAGTCTGTAAGACTTCCACTTCCAAGCTTGCTCAGATTAACCCAGCTAGAGTCCTGGAAATCAGCATGGAAATGGGCTTATCTTTCAAACACTAATTCTTATATTAACTTCTTTCTCTTTTCTATATCTACAGTGAGCAAAAATGCACATTTCTTTTCTTTCTGTTCTGTTTAGCAACCGATCTCCACTATTGTCCTAACACGAAGACTAGGACATGGAGACGACTATTCAGCTAAGAGTGGAAATGAAATTTTATGCAAATTCATGAGGACACTTTAGTAATACGTATTAAAAACTTAAAAATATTTTTGCCCTTTTATCTAACAATTCTGTTTCTAGGAATCAACTATAAGCAATTAATCAGAGAGGTTGACAAAGTTTTATATATGAAGATATCCATCGGAGCATTATTTATAAGAGAAAAAAATGGAAATAAATATTCTACATTGTAGCATTAAACAATTTAGTATGGGATAGTGGCATAATAGACTATTGTGGAGTGATTAAAGGGCTGGGTTTTGAAACATAATTATATGGGGAAATAATTGTGGTAGGTAAGTGAGGGGGAAAATTCAGGTTAGTAATTATGAAATTACCAAAGCCAACCCAGTTTATAGAGTGATAAGTGTGTACCAGACACAGTGCTTAGTGCTTTACATACATTATCTTTTTAAAACCTCACACTAGTTCTGTAAAGTAAGTACTCAGGTGCTTCTTTTATGGAGAGCAAAGTGCTGTATAGGCAGCAATGTTCTGGAGAGAAGAAAATTGGAGGCCAGGCTCTGAACTCAGGCCTGTTCTATTCTAAAGCTTAAGCTCTTGACAACCATACCCCCACCTTTCAAAGGAAAGAGCAGTTAAGGGTGATGTTAACAGGTGTACATGAAAAATCATTCTACTGCACAAATAAGATTGTCAGTTATTAATTATGTAAGGTCTTTTTTGTGATTTAACTTTGTAGGGACTCTGACGTGCTAGTATGTAGTGTTTAGCTCTGCTATGGTCTGAACGTATCCTCCAAAATTCATTTGTTGGAAATATAATCCCCAATGCAACTGTGTTGGGTGGTGGGGTCTAATGGAAGTTATTTATATCATGTGGATTTTTCTGTCTTAAATGGATTAATATTACCATAAAAAGGGCTTACAGGAATGGGTTCATTTTATCTTGCCCTTTTTCTGCCACGTGAGGATGCAGCAAGATCGCCTCACCAGATGCTAGTGCCTTGATCTTGGACTTCCCTGCCTCAAGAACTGTGAGAAATAACTTTTTCTTCTTTGTAAATTACCCAGTCTGTGTTATTCTTTTATGGCAGCACAAAATGGACTAAGACAGTCTCAAAGGAATGATCTAGTATGCAGATTCCCCAAACTTGCTGGGCGAGAGAACTCTTGTTTTGCAGAGAATTAGCAATTGTTGGAAGGTGGAACATCATTGGGAAGTGTTGAACTATGCTATACTATCATATTTAGAGCACAAAAAAAGTACATATAGAAAAATAAATATTGAAAGGATGTATGGTGGTGGGTTTATAGTTTTTATCTGTGGGTGGTAGGATTGCAACCAATTTTAATTTTCATCTACATAGTTGTCTATATTTTCCAAATTTTTTATAGTGATAATAATTTAATTTTATTAATTATGAATACTTTTTTTTTTTTGAGATGGAGTTTCACTCTGTCACCCAGGCTGGAGTCCAATGGCACGATCTTGGATCACTGCAACCTCTGCCTCCCAGGTTCAAGTGATTCTCCTGCCTCAGCCTCCCAAGTAGCTGGGATTACAGGCACGTGCCACCACTCCCGGCTAATTTTTTGTATTTTCAGTAGAGATGGAGTTTCACCATGTTGGCCAGGCTGGTCTTGAACTCCTGACCTCAAGCGATCCGCCCACCTTGGCCTCCCAAAGTGCTGGGATTACAGGCATGATCCACTGCGCCCAACCCGTGAATACATTTTTTTAAAAGCAAAAAGAAAATCTGTTTTCTTTGATTTCTCTTTTATTCACATGGCTTAACCTGTAACCTCTATACAGATGATTTCCAGTTCTACATCTATAGCTCTGAGTGATTACCTATACCCCAACGGTGTATGTCCAGCTGTTCTTATTTCTTGAACACCTGCTTTCTTTCAATGCCATGTCTTCAGATGATCCTTCTTTCCCCTCTTCCCTTGTCCTTCATGCAGGGAGTCTTTTCTATTAGGAGTAACAGTATTGCTACATGCTTCCAAAATAGAATCTTGATTATGATTTCCATGCTGAGCCATTTCTTCCTCTAGTCCTAGTTTATTATTGTGTTCAGTTCATTCTTCTTCCAAACTTCTCTTAGAATCACCCTTGTGTCTCCACCCCCTTATAACAACGTTAGTCCATTTTACTATTATTTAACATGTTTAAAAGACTGTCTTCATTATGTTTCTCTCTCATTCAGAAACCTGTAGTAGCTTCTGCTTCACCACACTGTCACTCCTGGCTTACTTGTTGGAGAGTTTTCTGGCTTATTTCCTGGAGAGTTTTCTCTGCTCCAGTTAAGTCAGTCTCCTCTTGTGTCTTTAAGACTTAGTTATTCCATATTTTTGATATTTAATTTGTTGCTTATTCTCAGCTTCAGGCCCTTGTTTATGCAGTTTCCTTTCTTGGAATACCTTTGGTTCTCTCCTTTGTCTTTCTAAATTCTCCATGCAAGGTATAGTAGGAGGACTCTCACTGATATCCCACCTGCCCATTAGGTGTCATATTTTCAACTAAGTCCATATAATCTGCCTAGAAAGATGTGATCCATGTGATTTGTAATCCAGTGTGCTCAGAGCACTGTACAATCAGAGGAACCCAGGGCAGCAATAAAAGCACTTTTAAAATAACTAAAGTTATTGATTTGCATTTATCAGACATTACAATGGGGATTCCTAGACCACCATTATATGAACTTAAAAATCTCACCTTTCCATTAATTTCCCTCATCTGTATCAGCTGTCTGTGTGAGTCTTTCACCCCCAAATTATCCTTCAAAACTCTATTCTTCACTTTAGCAACTAAAATGAACTGTTCAAGGAAATACGGGCGTTGGATGATGACAAACAAAAAATGTATTAGGCCTATCTTTTGGTAAAGGGGAAGGCTGAGAGGAGAAGTGACTGAAATAGTTAATATCATGAAGGAAGTTAGTAAGTTATTCATCTATTTACTTACTTATTTGTACCTGCATATTGTTTCAGAAAGAATTTAAGTCAACGTTTAGCAATATTAAATAAACTAAGATAATTAATTAAAAGTGGGAGAGAATGAAAGAAACAAGAAGGACATGAAATTCAGAATACAAATAGAGTTAAAAATGTAGTATGGACCATAAATTTGTCTATAATCTTACTAGAGAAAACTATGAAATGGATAAAAACACAATTTTTCATGTTGTCCTAGAACCCTGGGAATAGAGTTTAGAAGAGTTTATTTTAGGGAAAATAAATATATTTTCAAAGCAGTGAGTAAAATGTACTACATTCATTGTCCATAGCAGTGGCATAGGCTAACAATGTGAGTTGATTTAGAAAGGATAATCAGTTTCATACTGGATTAAACTAAGACATGTGGACAATGTATTAATCTCAAGGTTAATACAGATACCATATTGTGCATTCATAGAAATGTTCAAGAAAGAATGCTGTCCTAGTCAATTATAATATGTTGCATTATAATGTCTTTTATCATTTTGTAAACTTTCCTCTTCATGTGGTTTAAAAAAGTATTTTCAGGTCTTCCTTAGCTAAGCAGGTCATAACTGTACACT